TGGGGCTTGGAGCAGCCTGGGACAGTGGAAAGGCACTGGATGGGCTTTAAAGTCTCCCCAACCCAGGCTGTTCTGGGATTCCATGATTCTGTCTGCTCTGAAGCAGACTGAGCAGCTTTCCAACATGGATCTTGCCCCTGGGAAAGCCCTGAGGGTGTAAAATGCTCCCCACAAGGGCTCAGGTTTCCATCCTGTGCCATCCTGCAAGAGCCCTGTGGTTCCAAAGCCCAGCAGGGCTGGAGGTGCCCCCTGCCCAGGTGACCCTCACCTGGGTGTCCTCACCTGTGCCCCAGCTCAGGGAGGAGCTGCTGCTCCCTTTGGTTCCACGGGGCCCCCACAGAAACCCTTCCCTCCCAGCCAGGAAAGCACCAGCCTGGTGTTCAGGAGAACACGGATGGAAGGATGGGTTCAAGGAGTGCCCCGAGCTCCAGGGGACGTTCAGGAACGTTTGGGGACACCCAGCCTGGGCTCAGGAATGCAAATGATGCTTCATTGACCACATGACATCTCTCTCTTTCCAGAGTGCAACTGTTATCCTGGGGAATGGCAGCAGCAGGGATGCAATGGGAGTTCTTCTGTGCCCACCATCTCTCTTGATCTTCATTTCCATTTCTTTTAAAAATGCAAGTTTCATTAAAACAGCAGCACTTTTCTATTAAATGAGTAAGGGAGAGGAATGACTGCCTCTGTATCTCAGCAGCAGAGAATCTTTTGAAAATCACTCAAGAGGCAAGGCTCAAATCAGATATTTAATAAGACTAACTTGGAGATCACTTCTTAAAGCAATTAACAGATGATTAGAGATAAGCGAGATGCAACAACGAGACCCAGATCTCAGACAGATTTCTCCGGGGTGGGGGTGCAGCCCCGGGGTCACCCTGCAGTCACAAACGGTGTCAGGACAGAATAGCAGAGGAAATTCCCACTTTTTTATTTCAGCCTGATTTTGCTCCTGACCGTTTCCAGTGGTTTGGAAGCTGCAGCTGGAGCAGGGAGAAGGGACCAACACCTCCCTGGGGATCTGCCCCAGCTGAGGGTCCTGGAGCCCAGGGTTCATCTCCACCTTCCTTGTGCTCAGTCAGGAGCTGCTGTTCCTTCTGGAGCACGAAGGAAAGGCAGGTCTGAGCCTGAACATTCCAAAGGGTCCCAGAGCTCAGCAGCAGCAGGATCCTCATGGCCCGGGTGTCCTGTGCCACTTGGCACGGGGACAGGGACAGGCAGGGACCGGGACAGAGCCAGCCCTCCTGGCCAGGGGCTCAGCACAGGCAGGATGGAGCCAGGGAGCAGCCACACAGCACATCCAGTCCTGCTGCAGGAGCACAGGAGCGCTGGGCCACCTCGCCCCACCACTGTGACATGTGACAAAAGCCATCTGCTGCCACCCTGGGCACTGGCAGGGCTCGAGCTGGGCTGAATGACAGCACAGGCGACATCCAGGGCCTGTCTGGCTGCTTATCCTGACCCACACAGGCTCCCCCCTCCAATGTCTGCTGTGTTTAAGGGCGTTTTACCAGCTGGACCAGAGCTGTGGGGTCTCAAAGCCCTCAGGGTTTCCTGGAGTCACCAGGAAATTGCTTCTCTTAGAAGGCAGCAACAAAGGCAAGGGGAGCTGGCTCATGCATCCACAGACTTGTGGTCATATCGGGTTTGGAAGTGCTCAAATTTATTACACAAGAGATGATGCAACAGCGAAAAAGAGAGCAAAATTCTACATTGACTCTCTACTCTGCAAGTCAGGACAACGAAGAGGTTTTACTTCATTAAGGAAGGCAGGGGAAAAATCAGAGACAGCCCCAGTGGTTGAGGGAGCCTTGTAAAGCCTAAATGAATAATCAGTCCTAGGTGATGCTCGTTGCTGTAGAAGGAACAATGAAATAGATCTGCTTCTGTTCAATAAATTACTAAAACATCAGTTATAAACCTGCTGCATGGCATTGGAAATTCAGCTCGTTCAACATCCAGGGAGCTTCATCCTGATGCAAATGGAAGACAGGCATGAGTGCTCTGCAGCAAAGGACTCTGTGCACATCCCAGCTTGGGAAACATATTTACACATACATCTCATATATTAATCTATTTTAGTGTACCCTAGCCAGAGGGCAGCCACAAAGAGGATTATTGTGGGAGAAGGACAGGAGATGGGCTGGTTTCTCCTCCCTGCTGAGCAGAGCCTGTGTCCATCCACGTGCAGCAATTCTGCAGGATCGTGTTTCCCTTTTCCAGGCAGCCACAAGTCAGGATCCTGAGCAGAGGTCTCCCAGGTGGATTTGGTAGCCAAGATTTGGTAGCCAGGATTACTGTGAGCCAAAAATAAATTAGCTGAGATCCCTCCACCAGCCTGAAGTGACTTCAGGGCCAAGAATCTCAGCCAAGCTGCCATTTGTTGGTGCCTTGGCCTCCCTCCCTCTCCTCCACAGCTCAGGAAGAGCTGCAGTGACTCTGGGGGGACCTTGGCCAGGCCTGACCAGGCAGGACAGGGGTGCTGAAACCTCAGAGAACATTCCTGCTGTCACCCAGAAGGGCAGGCAGACACCCCAGGTCATTCCCAAGGGGAACCCTTTGGGCTCTCCAGAGGGAGGTGCTGGTTTGGCCAGCAGTGTGTGGGTGATGGGGAGGGGGGCAAGGGGAGGTCAGGGGGTTTATTCCATTGCATTTTTTTGGGTAACTTCTGTGATTAAGGGTTAGAAAGATGCCTGGGAGCTGCTGGGCTGTTTTGCTTCTCCAAAACTCAGGGAAGGGGCTGCTGGATGCAGGGGCAGGAAAGGGAACAGGGAACAAGGACCCAGCAAAACACCATGTCCTTCAAACTCAGCTCCTTTAGGGCTTGGAAACCTTTTCCTCTCCCAAGCTGCCCAGTTTCCACACTTGCCAGGCAGGTCTGTGCAGGGTGGTGGTGCAAACCTCCCCAGCCCTTTGGGAGAGCTTGGAGTTGTGTGGGAAAGCAGAAATTCCCTGTCAGTAAAAGCTCCCAGACTGCCCCAGCTCATGACAGCCACTCCAGCAGGGAATGTGGCACCTCTTGGAGTGCTGGCCAGGGGGAAGAGCAGTTCTGAGCCAGCTCCACACAGCTGGGATCAGCTGGGGGAGACTCACAAATGGGAAAAGTAAAGCCACAAACGCCCATCTCCCCCAGGTCCTCTCCTAGGAACACGAATAAAGCTCTGGTTGATGTTCCATCCTTTCCAAAGGAGTCCACGTGGATCAGTCCTCGGCAGCCGTGGCTCAAGTCAGACTCCCCTGACTCTTTCAGCCTCTACTTGATGAAGTTTTTAATTGTCCACCTCTGCCCTGTGCAGCTGCGAAGGATGAGGTCAATGCCAGCCATGCCCCTGTTCTCCACCTCCAGGCACCGGCCTGTCCCCTTGTTCAGGATGGCTCCGTTCTGCAGGCACAGGAGATGGGAAAAGATGGAAAAATGAAAATATTAATTGCCTGGGAAGCAAACCAGGACCAGGAGGGCAGCCCTGGGCACTCAGCTGGGTGGGAATGCAATTCAAACAATAAAATAATTCCCCGAATAAATGGAATGAGCACCCCTTGTCCCTGACAGCACCCAAAGGACACTTGTAACCTTTAAATCCCACAGCTGCTGGGAAGTGGGACACTTCTGTAAAAGCTGTATTATTTATATTCTACTTTGGGACAAAAGATCAGACATAACCAGATCCACCTTTCTGCTACCAGAGAGGAAACCTTTGATTAGAAATTGTCCTGAAACGCTGCCCTGATCCCTCTTCACCTCCTCCCTCTGCCCCAGCACCTGGAATTTGCTGTCCCATGGCACCGTCTCCCCTTTGTCCCACCCCATCCCACGGGCTGTGTCCCACGCAGGGTTTGGGAGGCAGAGGAGCCCCCCGGGGCAGCCCCAGACACACCTGGATGAAGTTCCAGCGTTTGTGGAGGCTGCTCTTGACCTTGTCACAGTCCAGCAGCTGCGGGAAGCGGCTCTTGCCCGTGTCCACCAGGCAGCGCGTGTCGGGCAGCAGCGTGGTGGTGCCCAGGGCCCCCAGGTGCAGGAAGCCCTCCTTGGTGTACCGGGCCAGCTGGGGACAGGGGGACAGCAGGGACACCTCAGAGCACTGGCACAGAGCGACAGAGGAAAGGACAACAAAGAGCCCCCGGAAAAATTCTGTGGGGATGCAGCGGGGAAGCAGAGCTGGAAGGGACAAATCCCAACTTTCTCCAGCCTTTTATCCCTATTTGGGTTTGTTTTTTTCAGATGCAGGTGAACAACTAAGACACAATATCTTAGGCTGCAATACAGGATGTGACAGCAGTTTGTATTCTGTCCCCATGTGTTAACCCAGCTGGGGCAGTGATCCTGATCTCTGTGCAGATATCCTCTGCTAATGGGCCATGTGTTAACCCAGCTGGGGCAGTGTTCTTTATCTTTCCACAGCCCATCCTCCCTCCAGGAGATCTCTCCTGTTCATGGCCATGCAGTCCCAGGGCAGGGCTGATCAAATTCCATCATCCCATTGGGAGATGCTCCAGCCAGGGGCAGGAGCCAAACATTTCCTACCCAGATCAAAGGTGAGATTTGGAACAGCAGAGCAGCCTTTTCCCACTGGATCCCAGAGGACAAGAGCTCCCAGACCTTTCTACAGGATCACTGCTGCAACAAGAACACTTCACTGGACTGCTACCACCACCCTGACTAGAGGGGTGTCAGGTTGGATTCTGACTCTGGCAGTGGTTTTCTTTTCTCCTAATGCATGTAATTTTTTTTTCCTATTAAATTGTATTTCTGATGTGGAGTCTCTTACTGGTTTTGCTTTCAAACCAATACACACAGGAAGGAGTAGGAAGAATTCCAAGCCTTAAACCCCTCCTGGAGCAGACTCCTGCAGCCTCCTGGAATGCTGTGGGATGGGGCAATGGATGGTATTCCCTGCATTCCAGCTGGCTGGCTGGTCCTGCTGGCCCAGCTCCTGGCGTGCTGGGTGAGCCAGCCTTGGCTGGGCTGGTGCCCCTGCGTGCCTGGCACAGCCCCCAGGGCTCCAACCAGGCCCAGAACTGGAATGGGAGCCTGGATCTGCCCCACAGCTCAGCCCTTGGGAAAGGCTCAGGATTGCAGTTACCCCCCCATTCCCATGGGATCCAGCTGCCCACAGCTCCCAGGGACTGCCCAGAACTCCCAGGGGATGCAGGATTGATCCTCTGGGATGGAGCAGCAGGCAGGGATGATGCCCTTGGGGACATGGGCATACAAAGGACTCCTCCATTTCAAAGAATGCCACCAAAATCTTTCCCTAAACACATTTAAATTCTGGAGTGAGGAGAAAGGAATGCCAGTGTCCTGCCTTTCATAGTTCAAGGGAAAGATCTCCACAGCTGCTTATTTAAATTATGAATCAGGCCATTATCCAGCAGACAAATAAGGAGGATTCAGCACATTAATTAACTGAGCATATCTGTGACCCAGATGCCAGGGAAGAGGCAGTTAATCCCAGTGGGTGTTTGGGTTATCTGGGCTGTAATAATTAAACACTGGAAATCAAGTTAAAACAATGTAACAGAGTTGGACTGCAGCTCACAACCCCAGGTCCAGTCAGGGCCTGGCTCCCTTGGGCTGGGCCTGGCTCTGCTCCCAGGTAATACTGGACTTACCCCTGGAGTGAAAATGTGAAATCAAATCAGGCCCTGAGCTCCTCACAATTCCCTGATGTTCACTGGCCAGGTGTTCCCCACAGGAGGGGTCAGGAGCAGCTCAAACCTTGATCACAGAATCATGGAAAGGTTTGGGTTGGAAGGGACATTAAAGCTCATCCCATTCCACCCCTGCCCTGGCAGGGACACCTTCCACTGTCCCAGGCTGCTCCAACCCCAATGTCCAGCCTGGCCTTGGGCACTGCCAGGGATCCAGGGGCAGCCACAGCTGCTCTGGGGGTAAAGCTGCCCCATCTCATCCTCCCTGGGCAGGATGTGCCCTTCTGTCTCCAGAGGCTTTTGCAAGACAGAATCACAAAATCACAGAATCACAGAATATCCTGAGTGGGAAGAGACCCCCAGGGATCACCCAGCCCAGCTCCCAGCCCTGCACAGAC